TTGTTCCACTGGTTAATTGTTCTGTCAGGAAGTTTCTCCTTAGTTCTTGGTTGCTTCTCTCCTTGATTAACTTCCATCCATTGCTTCTTGTCCTGCCTTCGGGTGCTTTGGAGAATAGCTTGACTCCCTCTTCTTTGGGGCAGCCCCTGAGCTATTGGAACACTGCTATCCTGTCCCCCCTCGTCCTTCTCTTCGTTAATTAATTCAGTGTCTCTTTATGTGCTTACTTCATGAAGCATTTTATCTAGCACCTGATTGCTGAATTAAAATTGAACGAAACCATGCAACGTTGGAAACCTAGCTTAATGCAGAACGCCTGCTTTACGGTGGCGAACGTTTCAGTTTCGCCACTGAATAATTACAATTAAATCAGGTCCCTAATTCAATATTTCCAAGCCTTTGGCACTGCACAAACACAGAAGCGCTAGCTATTCCGGTATCTATGCTGCTTGAATGAAGAGTTCAATACATCTCCTTTGTGAACTCTGAAACAGTTCATCCTAACCCTTTTCAAGATTTCCACAACTCAGGGGTTGACATCCTCTTTGCAAACTCTTGAATGCATACAGAAGTCTTACCGGAAGGGTAAAAAAAAAAAAGGTTTTAATATCCAAGAATTAGTTTAGTCCAGCATATTATTGTAATTATTATAATAGTCCTAGGTTAATTTACCTCCTTCCCCCCCCCACCCCCCGGAAAGGTGTCTCTCTTTTGGAATTTCCGCTCTTGTTGTTGGCTGAATGTTTGTGTAAAAAGCACTTGGAACTCAATCAGGGCTAAATGGTCTCCAAGGATGTGGTTCAGTAATTGTGGGAGGGGGTGTCCTGTGTGAATCGCCAGCCAGATAATAGCTCCTTTGCCGCAAAAATAACAAGGCTGAATTGAAATAATTGTTGATACGATCCTCCTGCCTGCCTCACCGGAACAATAAAACAAAGCCTGTGTGCATTCTGGAATGTGTGGGGCGGTAAAGTACTTAACCTTCAATTTTAGAGTGTTACTAAGCTGTGTCCCTCCGTTCAAGTCACTATCAAACCTCGTAGATCTGAAGACGGTTTCCTGCAACATCGTAAAATTGCATATTTATATCCTGGTCCGCTCGCAAGGCTGGGGCTGCGTGAACTCTCGAATTCGGTTCAGAGGATGTGTGAGGCGTTGTGTGGATTTTCTGAAAGGAGATGGAGGCAGATGCCCAAGCTGATAAAACTGATTTAAAAGAGCTTTTCTGGGGAGGGGAAAAAAGAGCTGAGTTTTGTTTTAATTTTTTCCTCCTGGAGAGGAAAGCCATGGCAAATCTAGACAGCATACTAAAAAGCAGAGACATCACCCTGCCAACAAAAGTGCGTATAGTCAAGGCCATGGTTTCCCCAGTTGCAATGTAGGGCTGTGAAAGTTGGATCGTAAGAAAGGCTGAGCGCCAAAGAATGGAGGCCTTTGAACTCTGATGCTGGAGAAGACTCCTGTGAGTCCCCTGGACTGCAAGGCGATCCAACCGGTCAGTCCTAGAGGAGATCAACCCCGACTGCTCTTTGGAAGGCCAGATCCTGAAGTTGAAACTCAAGGACTTTGGCCACCTGATGAGAAGGAAGGACTCCCTGGAGAAGAGCCTGATGCTGGGAAAGATGGAGGGAAATAGAAGAAGGGGATGACAGAAAAGGAGGTGGCTGGATGGAGTCCCTGAAGCAGGAGGCATGAGCTTCAATGGACTCCAGAAGATGGTAGAGGACAGGAAGGCCTGGAGGAGATCAACCCCGACTGCTCCTTAGAAGGCCAGATCCTGAAGCGGAAACTCAAGTACTTTGGCCACCTAACGAGAAGGAAGGACTCACTGGAGAAGAGCCTGATGCTGGGAAAGATGGAGGGCAAGAGAAGAAGGGGACGGCAGAGAAGGAGGTGGCTGGATGGAGTCCCTGAAGCAGTAGGCGTGAGCTTAAATGGACTCCAGAAGATGGTAGAGGACAGGAAGGCCTGAAGGAACGTGGTCCATGGGGTCATGATGGGTCGGACACGACTTCACACCTAACAACAACAAGCCAGATTTCACTGGCAGACTCATTGTGTCTGCTGTTTAAATTGAAGTAGCGATGGTTTCAAAAAAATACACCCCTGTTATTTGTTGTTTGGCATGAGTGATTGCAAAGGATGAGAAATGGTCTTTGCAGGAAGCAGGTCTTTCGCAAAGGTCCTGGGAAAGCCTCTTCTGACCGTCTCATGTTCAGACTCAGCCAAAAGACACAGTGTCAAGCTTTTTTGTTTTTGTTTGTTGTTGTTGTTCCTTCACCTTGTTTGGGGATTGCACCACAAACTTGAGAATAATCCGTTTTTATTTTCCAAAGGACCAGGAGACAAGACAAGAAACAATAGATGGAAGCAACCTAGAACTAAGGAGGAATTTCCTGACAGTGAGAACAATTAATCAGTGGAACAATTTGCTTCCAGAAGCTGTGGATGCTCTGACACTGGAAGTTTTTCAGAAGAGACAGCCCCTGAGATACTGGAAGACTGCTATCATGTCACCCCTCGTCCTTCTCTTCATTAAACTAGGCATATCCAATTCCTGCCACCGTTCTTCATCTGAAGTATAGATGAGGGGTCGTTCTGTTATTGTGTTAAGAATAAAAAGGGAATTCAGGAGACTTTGGTTTAGCAAGCTGTCTGAATGCAGCCAGCCATTTCCAGGAATTATTATTAATAATAATACAGTTGGAAGGGACCTTGGAGGTCATCTAGTCCAACCCCCTGCTCAGGCAGGAAACCCTATACCATTTCGGACAAATGGCTGTCCAGTCTCTTCTTAAAAACTTCCAGCGTTGGAGCACCCACAACTTCTGGAGGCAGGTAGTTCCACTGGTTAATTGTTCTAACTGTCAGGAAGTGTCTCCTTAATTCCAGGTTACTTCTCTCTTTGATGAGTTCCCATCCGTTGCTTCTTGTCCTGCCTTCAGGTGCTTTGGAGAACAGCTTGACTCCCTCTTCTTTGGGGCAGCCCCTGAGATACTGGAACACTGCTGTCATGTCACCCCTGGTCCTTCTCTTCCTTAGATTAGACATACTCAATTCCTGCCACTGTTCTTCACCTGAAGTATAGATGAGGAACATCAATTAAATAATAATTGAAAGCGATGTTCCTTTGAAATACCATATGACTTAATGAGTTGATCCTGACAGCTGGGAAACTTTATTTTGGTATTGAGCGATGATCATTCTCATTTGATTTCAGAATTCTCCCCATGTGCAAGATTTTTGCTTTTTTTTACATGCATTTTTAAAGAAGGGTGGTCCCAAATGAAGTGGCTAGATCCAGTGGATCAGAAACCGGGAAAGACATCTGTAGGCTTTTAATATTTCAGCATAGAATGCAGCTAATTTCCCCCATCTGTGGCTGAAGAGCAGAAACTAAATTCAAGATGGGTCAGCTGTTCGTTGTGACAGGTGGATATTTTTTTCTCTCCTCTTTTTAAATAACCAGACTAGGCAAGTATTCCCGTTGTAGTCCCAAGTAAAGGAAATAAATCAGTCCATTTGTCTGCTTCTCTTTAAGCCCAGGCATTGAAACCAATTTAATTATCCTAAACCTTTGCTTATTATGTTCTGTCAAATTTATGCTAGCTTGCAACTTGCTTACCCTTCCACTGGGTATCTCCCCCCACCACACTGGACAAAGCAAACTGGAAGTTCTGTCGTAGGAGCCTTATCGATGTCCATCAAAATGGAAGTGAAATATTTGTGCTCCTTATTGTCACTTGGAACACAATAAAGGCAGGGTTGTAAAGACAGGACAAACCCCGCAAATTCCTTACATAGGTTTCCGTGCCCCCCCCCCCAAATGATGTGAATCTGGTTTTCACGGGGGGATTAAAGAGGGCATCACAATTAAGAGTGTACATTGGGGTCCATAACTGATTCCTAGCCATGGATGGTGGGAGGCAGGGAGTAAGGAAGGAGAAATTGTGAATGTCACTTTGAAGAGGGCTTCTTGTAAATGCTGCAATGGACTTACTTACAGAGAAGACGATTAGGGGACTGGAAGTTAAAACAAAGGATAAACGGTTGCAAGAATTGGGTATATCTGGTTTAATGCGGACAAGGACTAGGGGGCGACATGATAGCAGTCTTCCAATATTTGAGGGGCTCCACGAAGCATCAGAAGGCAAGACAAGAAGCAACGGATGGAAACTAACCAAGGAGAGAAGCAACCTAGAACTAAGGAGAAACTTCCTGACAATAAGAACAATCAATCAGTGGAATGGCTTGCCCACAGAGGTTGTGGGTGCTCCATCACTGGAGGTTTTTAAGAAGAAACTGGGCAGCCATTTGTCCAGAATGGTGTAGGATCTCCTGCTTGAGCTTAGGGTTGGACTAGAAGACCTCCAAGGTCCTTTCCAACCCCGTTATTTTTTTTATTAAGTCCATGACTGTGTTGATGTGAAGACAAAAATTCCGTGTGTAGGAATTAGCAATCATGGAAGGATCAGTTATTGCAAGGGTCTTCAAACTTGGCTGCTTTAAGACTAGTGGACTTTCAATTCCCAGAATTCCTCAGCCAGCCATGGCTGGCTGAGGAATTCTGGGAATTGAAGTCCACAAGTCTTAAAGCAGCCAAGTTTGAAGACCCCTGAATTATTGAGTCTTAGAGCCGATGATAGATATCATTGATATTATGATTGATATTATGATTGATACATCATTGATATTATGAGAAAAATGTAACAAAGATGCTGATATTCAATTGTGTATTTACTAATAAAGAATTGTATTTGCCTAGTGTGGGAAAACAGGTGCTATTGGAAGAAGAGAGGAAACATTGCATGGTGTAATACTGGATCTAGATTGAAGAAGTTAATATAGACCACTGAAATACTAATGGACCCCGTTGTCTATTAAGTATTTGATCAGAAGTGACTGATTTCCATGTTTATGTAATCCATGTAAAACACCTCATCGTTGTATCTTCTACTTCCAGCCCATCACCAAATAACATATGAATTTCCTTCTTCCAGGCCCACCCAGAATTGCCGACAAAGTGATCCACCGGCAATCTGTGAGGTTAGGAAGAACCATCAAGCTTTTGTGTCCAGTCGAAGGTGACCCACCGCCTCTCACGATGTGGACGAAAGACGGGCGGACCATCCACAGTGGATGGACGAGGTTCCGCGTCCTTCAACAAGGCCTGAAGATCAAGGAAGTGGAGAGCGAGGATGCGGGCATCTATATCTGCAAAGCCACCAACGGTTTTGGCAGCATGAACGTGAACTATACGCTCATTGTGATCGGTGAGTTCAGCCTGCTCTGTGCAGGGCAAGATTGGCCTGTGATATTTCCAGTGCTGTAAATAATCTACCAGCCTCTAGTCAAACTCGTTTGTCCCAAGGTTTTTTGTGGCAGTGGGGGGTGTTGCACATCTCCTTACTGCTGTGGCTTGCGTCAAGATAAGATTAGGCAAGGCTGGGGCCAAAGGGTCGGAATAAACAGTCGGGATGGAGACACAGATCCCTGTGAGTTTCATGCAGGAAAAGTTGGATGATAAGGAGAGGTCGCGCCAGTCTTTGTGGCCTCTTTCCTCAATCTTTACTCAACGTGTGTTTCAGTCTCCACAGCAAGGACACACAATTCCTGGTATCATCAGAAATAACAGTAGGTGCTGGAATTATTTACCAACTTGGCAGGAAGCCTAAATGTTTTGTGTTCCTATCAGAGTTTTTGAAAAAAAGGAGAACTGCACGTCGTCGGGTCATAAGATGCAGAGTTGAAAAAAGAAGGAGGTGGAGGGTTTTGCCTTGCATACACAGCCTTCGGTTTATCACTCTTTATCACGCTTTTCTTGGAGCCCATAAAATAGTGGTTCTCAACCTTTTTAATGCCGCGACCCCCCAACTGCTCGTAAGTCGAGGACTACTCAACCGGTCGTAAGTCGAGGACTACTCAACTGGTGCAGCACCGTTTGCAGAATGGAGCTTTTGGCGGGCTCAGCAGGGCAGAGACAGCCTGGACAATTCCTATTGGCTTTGGAAAGCCAATAGAATTAGACTCTATTCAAGAGAGTCTATTCTATTGGCTTTCCAAAGCCAATAGAATAAAAGGGAGGAGCACAGCTAAGGAAAAGGGGGGGAAAATGGCGGACTGCGTTGTTTGGTGACCCCCATGAAATGGTCGTTCGACCCCAAATGGGGTCCCGACCCACAGGTTGAGAACCACTGCCATAACACAAATCTCTCAAGTAAGCAGGGCTATCTATCCATTCCCTCAACTTCTACCTTGTCCTCAAAGCTGGAGTGACTTTTCTGGTAAGTTCTCCGACTCACATTTTCTTGATTACACCCAATGGGCTTTTGCCTTCTGTGGTCAAAGCTGGCATCCATTCTCCTGCTTTGGCTTCAGATTTTTTCTCTTATGATTTTAGGTTTAAATCCCAGAAAATGTATGCTGCTCTGTTTTAGGGGGGCAGGGGGGGGTGTAGCAGAATTTCTTCTCGTGGTGGAGAGCTTGATAGACTTTGTGGTTTACCACAAGACTCGAGATGCTAATTTAAGACTGGTCTGCTATTTAATCAGAATTAACATTCTTTGGATTAAGGACAAGAGTCTGTTATCCTGCACAAGAGCCTGTTATCCTGCAAAATTACCTATCTTCCCTTAAAAAAACAAACGTCCACAAAAATATGCAACTTATATTTAAAATGATCCACTTAAGTCCTTTGCTTTGGCAACTACTGAATGCTCTTTTGTCGTCACCATTTTTTTTTTTAAAAAAAATCACTGGTCATTCAGCAGTGGCTTATCGAAGGCGAATTAGCACCCTAAAACCTGCCTGCATTTATAGTAATTGATAAATGTTAGAGGACAATTATCAAATCAAGACCTTTGAAGGACTTTTGTTTCTAATACTTGAATGAATGGAGAAAATCTGAAAAGCAGGATTTTTTAAAAAAAAATAAGATAGGATGGCTAGGATGAGATGAGATGAGTTGAGATGACTTTTATTGCATTTTTTACTCTGAGCACACTGGCCCACATAAAAAATGAAATTCTATTGCCTGCTCTCAAGAACGTATATATCTACCCACCTACACACAACACACATGTACATATGTACACACACACACACACATGTATGTATGTATAAATATTAATCACTGTCCATTTTGAATACAGAGCGGAAAAAAGAGTCTTGAGAGTTAAGGCTGATATTATACGGTACAAAGCTATTACAGAATCTAATTGTTCTGCTTCGGATACCGCAAAGCCCCATCCCAGAAGGTAATAAGGAAAACATGTTGTCAAGAGGGTGTGTATCATCCCAGACAATTTTGCGGATCCTGCTCAAGCAATGATTATATGCCATATCTTGGATGGGAGGGAGGGAGCTGCCAATGATCTTTTCTGCTGTCCTCACCACTCTCTGCACTGCCTTCCTGTCCGAAGCAGGGATGTCTCCAAACCAGACTGTGTTGTTGTAAGACAGTCATACCTCTGTAGAAAGTGGTGAGGACAGGAGAAGGAAGATGTGCTTTTCTCATGCGACATAGAAAAAGCAGGTGCTGTTGAGGGACGAAAGTATGATAGTGTATTGTCTCTTAACTCCGTGGGTATCAACACATATTCTTTCGTTTTTCAAGTAGTGTTCTTCTCTTTGAATAAGACTTCTGTTTTATGAATTACAGTAGTGAAAATGAATACAAACTGAAGTTAGAGAAAGAGGAGAGAATGGAAAGAAATAATTAAAAGTGCAGGAAGAAAACAAAAAGAGAAGAAAAACAAAAAGAAACGGAATAATAGCGGAAGAGGAAAGAAATACATAAAGAGGTGATTCCCAATCTTCATCACAACAAGTGTAGATAAATTGAATAATTCTTCGGCATATATTGGTCACCCTTCTGATGCCCAACTACACAAACTAGAGTGGTGGAGGAATGTTTTTAAGGGATTGCGTAGATTGTTACACAGATTTTGTATCAGGTGTGATATGCTGTTGGATGCAGAAAAGAAAAAAACAGGGCATGTTTTCAATATTAATTCATTTTCAATAGGAAGCAAAAATCAAGAACCTCAGACTGAGTGGAAGGATGGAAATTCAAAAGTCACATTAGAAAGCCTGACTTCACAGAAGGACTAAGTGGAAGCTTGGAACCGACTTTCAGCAGAAACTTTAAATATGCTTGGGATAAACACATACCCATCCTCCGACAATAAATAAATAAATATAGAATAAAAATGGTAATGGAATAAAAACAACAACAATTAATTACAAAGAAAAACAGAAAAGAAACTTCAAGAGGGCAGACTTGGTGGTTTGTTTTTTTTTCTTCTGCTGTCAGTTTTCTAGCTTTCTACGTTGCCCTATTTCTGAAAAAAGGGGAAACTTTAATGAATTGCCTACAGCACCCCTTTCTGTTTTTCATGTACAGGTTGTCCTTGACTTACAACCTTTGGTCTGTTCTGAGTTGTGGCGGCAGGGAACAGGCGACTTGTGACTGACCACAACTGTTGCAGCATCCCCGTGGTCAGGTGATCAAGATTCAGAGGCTTGGCAACTGACATGGACTTATGACAGTTGCAGCCTCCCAGGGTCAAACCCCCTCTCTGAGGCCGGTGAAGAAGTCATAAAATCTGAAAAATAAACAAATAAATCTCCATTTGTGAACTTCCTTCCAACAGGCAAAGTCAATGGGGGAAGCCAGATTCATGTAACATCCATGTGTGATTCACTTAACAGCCATGGATTCATTTAACAGCCACGTGATCCATTTGGCAACCTGTGCAGGGGGCAAGCAGCATCTTAGATGTGGCCACTGGCCCTATTAACCCCTTTTTGTTTGTTTGAGTTTTAAAATCAAGCTTCCATTCGTGCACGTGTTTCTTTTCCTTTCTTTATGTCTCTAACTCAGTGGTTCTCAACCTTTTTAATGCTGCGACCTCCAACCGGTTGTAAGTCGAGGACTACTCAACCGGTCGTAAGTCGAGGACTACTCAACTGGTGCAGCACCGTTTGCAGAATGGGACTTTTGGCAGACTCAGCAGGGCAGAGACAGCCTGGACCATTCCTATTGGCTTTTGAAAGCCAATAGAATTAGACTCTATTCAAGAGAGTCTGTTGGCTTTCAAAAGCCAATAGAATAAAAGGGAGTAGCACAGCTAAGGAAAAGGGGGAAAAAATGGCGGACTGCGTTGTTTGGCGACCCCCGTGAAATGGTCGTTCCACCCCAAATGGGGTCCTGACCCACAGGTGGAGAACCACTGTTCTAACTAATTCTTTTTCTCGTGCACCGGGGTTATTTGATTTTCCGACTTGTTTCACAGCACAACTTATCAACACTTGGTTTCTTGGCCAACAAAAATCTCTTTTACTTTGAATCCATTTTTTCTCCTCCTCCCCCCCCCCGCTTCCCTTACTTTCCATTCTAATATGGGAGTTCCGTTAAAAAGGTGATAACACCTGTTGGCAATTTAAAGGAAAGGAAAAGCCGTATTTTTTTTTCCACGGATACAAGCATGAAATTCATACATCTAGGTACATGTCTGCAGTTTCGTCAGCATATTCCATTCTGTGGTAGACAAATGCAAAGCAGAAATCCTGCCCGGGTAAATTTAGACCCCCGAAAGACATATGGAGATGTTTAACCCACAATTCCTTGCAGATGTTCTGTGACTGCCATTACATCTATGCCTGCATAATTATATTTATTATTAGCATGACTTTAAAAGAAAGGAAAACAAGGCTCTCAAATGCTCTTGACATCCAAGGAATTGTTGGATCGAGTCCATATAAGGGGAGTCCTTTCCATTTACTGATAGAAATCAAATCGCTGTCTAAGCTAAACCCCTGTCTGAATTGGATGATCAGAGCACCCCATCAGTCAAAACAGATGTTGTCAGCAGACGTTGTGTTTGAAATGCAGAAAACGTACATTTTATGGGGGGGATGATGGTCTATCTCAGTGGTTTTTAACCTGATAATAACGTAGAATGTGAAGGATGTGTGTATATAATGTATGTTTTTACTTGTGTGTAGTGTAGTGTAGATGCTTGCTCCCGGCGAAGAAAGCTATGGCAAATCTAGACAGCATAATAAAAAGCAGAGGCATCACCCTGCCAACAAAAGTACGTATAGTCAAGGCCCTGGTTTTCCCAGTTGCAATGTATGGCTATGAAAGTTGGACCACAAGAAAGGCTGAGCGCCAAAGAATGGAGGCCTTTGAACTCTGGTGCTGGAGAAGATTCCTGCAAGTCCCCTGGACTGCAAGGCGATCCAACCGGTCAGTCCTGGAGGAGATCAA